AGTGTTCCCCATGTACCACCTTCTGGGGCTCACCATCCAAGTACCAGTGGTTCTAAAGTAGTATTACTGCAAAGCAGTACCCTGCATTCCCAACACATAAAGTCAAATCAGGAGGATATAATGGCTAATGGTATCAAAAGCCACTAAAACATCCAGGAGTATCAACACTCCCCCTGTCTGTACTGACATGGGAACCAAAGCTGTCTCCTGGCCAAAATCTGGTCTGAACCCTGACTGAAATGGAACCAGATGATCATTCTTATTTTAAAAAAGGGAGTGGAATTGGTTGACCACTACATGCTCAAAGACTTTGCCCAGGAAAAGATACATAGAAATGTAGAAAACAGAGCGAGTCTGAAGGGCCCTCCCGGGCCATCTAGTCTGACCTCCGGCACCAGCCGGCTCCGCTCACGACATGCCCACCATGTGGACGTCCAGCCTATCCTTGAACACCCTCACCGATGGGGCCTCAACCACATTCTGTGGAAGCCCATTCCACACCCTCAGGGTCCTGACTGTCAGGAAGTGCTTCCTGGCATCCAAACGGAGCCTTGGCTCCCTGAGCTTTGCTCCGTTGGAGCGTGTCCTGCCTTCCTCTGCAGGGGAGAACAGGTCTCTACCCATCTCCATGTGACATCCCCTCACATACCTGTATGTTGCCAACAGATCCCTTCTGAGTCTCCTCTTCTCCAGGCTGAAGAGACCCAGTTTGTTTGTTTGTTTGTTTGTTTGTTTGTTTGTTTGTTTGTTAAAACATTTCTATGCCGCCCCATTCGCCGAAGCCTTGGGGCGGCTCACAACATAAATAATACGGCATCCCCTGCAAACTGGCCACAAACCTTGTGGCCCTACTCTGCACTGACTCCAACCTGGCTATATGCTTTCTGTAATGAGGGGCCCAAAACTGAACACAATACTCCAGTTGTGGGTGCACCAGAGACGTATAGAGTGGTAGTAATACCTCTCTCGATCTAGAAGCCACACTTCTGGCTATGCAACCAAGGGTGGCGTTTGCCCTCTTGACCACCACATCACACTGCTGACTCATGTTTAGCCTGCAGTCAACCAGTATCCCGAGGTCCCTTTCACAAGTGCTGCTCTCCAGCCACTTATCACCTAACCTGTACTTATGACACCTATTCCTATGCCC